GTTCACCAATTAAAGTTCTGAAGCTTTTCTTACGTAGAATGTCAGTAGCAGGAAATTGTATTCGAATATGTAGAGAAATAAATAGAAACACGATTTTACATCCTTACAGCGTAAACATTAAAAAACCTTCTACTGGTTATTACAGTATTACGTGGTAAAAAATGTTTTTATTTCATTTAGGAAATCGTAACGTGGTTTCATTACGTTAATGTATTGTTGACAAATTACAACTTGTTCATCAGTATCCAATTAATTTGCAGTCAATGAATGATAATTGATTGTTAATTTTGCAGATGCCAATGACTAATTATTGCATGTATTGCTACTTATTTCGTTCGATACCTATTTATAAATGCATTACAACGATAAAATACTTTATTCTTTTTAATTTTATATCTTAAATTTGAGGAATTAAAATATATGGCACACAGATAAATAGTTTTGTAATTTTTGCATATAAAATATAAATCAGATCTTTATAGTCTAAATTGTTCAGATCCTTTCGTTGAAAATTCTAAACATTTAAATTTTCCGTAAAGATTCCAGTGGGTTAATACGTTTAATAATGTTTGAAATATACAACTGTATATTTCAACTTACACTGTTTTAACGAGATAGTAAATACATAATGAAAGATGATAAGTGGATAATACGGGTTTCGAGTGTAGTTAGATGAATTTTTATTTGCTATAAGTAAAATCAGTAACACGTACAATGCTTAAAGCATTCATTCAGTTATCCTTCACTAGCAAGTTTGCTCTAGAGTTTTAACAAGTTTATAAAACCATTGAAAAGTTTTTTTTAATTTCGAATTGTTGACTAAATAAAAAATGTCTTTAAAAAATGAGAATATAAAATTATAATCATACAACTGGTATTTACTTATTGTATAATAATTTCTATAAATAATAATAATAATAACCTAAAAATAATCTGAAACTTAATTCTGTACTGGCATAAACACTGCATAAAAATTTTTACAATGAAAAGTTTGACATATTTAATACATATTGGTATTACCAGAGAATGTTAGCCTAAAGCTTATAGTCAATGACGTGACAAGCTTACTTTGTTAAAAAACTTTAATTGTAGTCAAACTGATTGCAAATATTTACATTTTGTAAAGAAGAAAATTAAAAACAAATATCACAAAAAATGTATATACTGAATTTAAGTTTTGAAAGTGTGAAAGCAAGCTATAATATTTTAATTGATCGTCACTTCACTTGTTAATTCTAAACGACAAATATCAATTAATTAGAGTCATAGATCAACATTCTTGTTTTATAAGTTTTATATTATTTTAGTTTATTATATAATAGTAGATAACTAAAAAAAACATATAAATTACTCATTGAAATATTGAAATAAATACGCTGAAAAATTGTCTTGGGATTGGAAAAAATTTCATGATTTAATATTTACAAAAAATTAAATACTGTTTTGGACATTAAAGGAAACAGAGAAATAGTATATATATATTTCAAATGTACTTGTTATTGTTTAGGTAAATATTTTTTTTATATTTCAATCTTTGATCGTTCCATTGGCTTATATGAGGAATAATAGTTCTTGATGGTATACATTATCAAGGAAAGCTATAAACCATCAAGTATTTGCAAATGAAGTGCCTCATTCTTTACAAATTATGCAGGTGTTTATTAAAGGTTTTATGCAAATAAGGTTATACAGACTGTCCCAAAAGTCCCGGACCGGTTTAATATTTTCTAAACTACAAAAGATAAATCAATAAGATTTTGCAAATCAACACCACACTTAAAAATCTACTTTTTTAAGGAAATATCAATTTTCTGTCGTATCATGGGGACGTCCCGCAAGGAGTCAGAAGGAAATCTTAAATAGAAGCATAGGTTGACATGCACATCAAAGACGTTTACTAGTAGATTACAATGCCAAAAATTCAAGCTCAAAAGAACGCCTGAGTAAAAAATGGCAGCCGTTCAAAGATTTCTTGAACCTGCCATTTTGAATCTTTGAACGACTGTCATTTTTTACTCAGGTGTTCTTTTGAGCTTGAATTTACGGCATTGTAATCTACTAGTGAAGACCTTTAATTTGATGTGCATATCGACCTATGCTTACGTTACAATTTTTTTCCAATTCCTAGGGCTGTGCCCCCTAATGCAAATTAAATGAATCTTTGAACCACTGTCATTCTTGACTTGGTTGATCGTTTGAGTTCAAATTTGCGGCATTATATTCTGCTAGTAAAGACCTTTAATTTGATGTACATGTCAATCTATGCTTCTATTTAAGATTTCCTTCTGACTCCTTGCGGGACGTCCCCATGATGTGACAGAAAATTGATATTATCCTTATTTTTAGGTGTGGTGTTGATGTACCAAATCTTATTGATTTATCTGTTGTCGTTTAGAAAATATTAAACAGGTCCGGGACTTTTGGGACAGTCTGTATATTCCTGAACTTATTTTACTCTTAATCAAGATAGTAGTCAAACGCTTAGGTCTTAAAGTAAAATATTACGAAAGAGTTTCTTAACAAGATGTTTCCAATTACCTTGGTTTATATCACTGTTATTTGAATGATTGTTTTTCTGTAAACTACAGTAACAACAATACAATATAAACTTTTCAATACTCCAGTATCAACGTAAAGTATATCAATAATAAGTACAAAGGTTTTAGACATTTATTACTTTAATTACTCTTAATAGATAATACTATACAGGTTATGGAAATCACTATTAAATAAACTTAGAATAAAGCCCATAATTTCAACCGTTTCTGCAACGCTAGTTAACAGAAATAAACTCAACCTTTTTACTGTATACTCGTTTTGAAGAAAACACATTTCAGAAATATCTAGGGCCACCAATGGCAGCCTGTGTGGAGGTTCCTTAATACCAATAAATCTAAACAATGCGCAAAAGATTATCATTCTAAAATAGGTCTTGAATAAACAAACTTAGATTCCCCTTATACTTAACAAATATAAGCTATCCAAAATATTGAAATAAAACATATCCTGTCCTGAGCCAAAAATATATAAAATTAAAAACTAGGCTATTTCTGTTTCTTTTAGTTTAATCACCCTCCTTCAGCTAAAACATTTTCCTCTGAGTTTACCAACATAAACTTATAAGAAAATGATAACTTATTAAAATTTAAAATGCTATAACAACAAGTCAATAAGATTTACTTGTTTAACAATTAAAATTGGTCTTACAAACTTGTTCTTTTTGTTAACAATTGTAATTTTGAGTATTTAGCTTAAGCTAAGAGGCATTACGTATGCGTTTATTTACAGACAACAACTTCCATGTTAATTCTGATCGATTGCAAATTATTATCAATACTGCACATATCAATTATTAAAAGTAATTATTTAAAAGGTTTTGTTTTACTAAAATATTGTTCTAGAATATTTGCACTCCTACATTCAAAACTACTTTAGTCTGAACGGCTACGAGTGGAGATGATTTAATGCGCTTTTACATAAATAACATAGTTACCTGCACTTTCCTGTGAATGAGGTTAAACAACAACTACACATGTTTGGAATATCTCTGATGGTTTTGTAGGCATAGCAAATATACAGATGTATTTGCGATGTGTTTTGTTCGGAATTCCGTTTTGTATTACAGCACAGACAATGGAATATATTGTCTGTGATTACAGAATATACTCTACTTTGGGGATAAAAATCGTATATATTATTTTGTAGTTTATCATATGTGACGTAATAAATTGTGTCATTGTTGTTATATGAATATTGTTACAGCTAAGTATTTTTTTTTTCAAATCAAGTTTTACCTCCAAACACAGTCATAAGCTATAGGTAATATTTTTTTGTGTAGTATCTATTTGTTACAAAACTTTTATTATACAAATACAAATATATTTATTATGAAAATTACAACAGCTTGGCCTCACCAAGTTTATAAAACTTGTCGGTGAGGTCCAATTGATACAATATAAGGCTAACAAACAAATAATTTACATTTTTCTTTCTTTTTTTGAACAAAGATTTCTTAATGTACTATATTTCTACGGCGGTTTGTGGCAGGCACTTTAACTTAAAACAAAGTAGTTGGCAGCACACTAAAAAATCTAAAATGTTCTAAAAAAAATCTAATAATCTAAAATATAAAATTACCGAAAACGCCTTATAAAACAATGCATAATTTTATTATAGTTATAGGTAACGGAAAACGTCATTACCTTTTAAATTTAGTTTTCTTGTTTTTAATAGTTTTTGAAAATTCGTTTTTGAATCATGAGTATATACAATGTAGGATTGTTATTGTTGCATAGTGGGTATTATAACAAGAGATTAACATAGTTTTGATATGTAGGCATATTTTATTAACAGTTCTGCTTGTTTAATAACACAACTTTAAACCTGCTAGTTTTGTTGATTAACTAAACGAAACTATATCTTTTAAAATCTATTGATTAGACGAAATCAGCAGTCAAAGGTTTTCTGGTTTTGGAACCATCAATATAACAGCATTTATTAATGTGATTTACGTGTTTTTACATTTTACCTTGAACAAATTAACTAACTGATGGCAGGTCAATTGAACAATACACCATAATAGTTTTAAAAAGATTTGTTACAAAACCCTTAGACGTTTAAAGAAGCAATGCATCTGTATCTACACAGCTCATTTATCTCTTGAGCCGTTCATTATTTTCCCTCACCACTAAACCCGTCAATAAGTGAAACGGTCCGACGCATTTTACTGCGATGTCTATAAAGTATCCAATATTACAGTGTCAGAGAGCTTCCTTATTTCTCAATGGACTTGATGGCACCATAAATGCTCCTCGATCTGGAAATAAAAAGCGCAATAAATGTAACTTGATACAGCCGCCATATTCCAAGTAGGTCAGTAACGTGTATGTCTGCTCCCGGCGCCTGGACCAGCCCTTAGCCTGTGGGAGGGGGGGAGGTTAGGTGGGGGAGGGGAGCCAAAACTACCCTTGCAGTGTCACTTGGTGCGCTGCCGTGCGCTGTTTGTGAGTGCGCGTGTGTGTCGTGTCTTACGTGGTGGTGATTGTCGCTTTGGATTATTATGAATAGAATTTTGTCTACCATCGTGTTGTGATAATACAGGTAATTATTGATATACCTATTGGACATAAAATATGACGCAATTAAAAATATTTTCTATCGTTATTTTATAAGGAGTTTTAATTTTTCGATTGATAGGTACATTAGTAGACAGTAGGGGTTTGGATTTGTTGAATGTTATTAAAGGGTGTCAAAAGATTAATGAAATAACTTGTAGATGCATTTTCCTTTCAAACAAATAGTAATATATCTAAAGTGTTTTTAGAAGTGTAGAGGTGTTTTAAGAATCAACATACAATTATCATACAAAAACGTGGTTTGTTGATCGGTAATTCGATGTGTACGAGCGGGAATTATGTAAATGATTTACATTTTATAAAGTTTTTTTTTAATAATTCCTCACGTGGTTGAATGAAAACACATTGTTATTTGGCTGCAATATAATTACTGTTATCATAAAAATCCACCAGCATAATTGACTGAAGGGTGTTAACCCATAGTCATCAGATACACATAGTAACACTGGGAGTTTAAGTTTTAAAAATGAAGCTCCACATTTGAATGAATAAAACAGGGTATACACTGTAAGAAAAAACAGGTCTTGAAGCTATAAAAGAAATAAATATATTAATTTATGATATAAAACAGAATTCGGTCGACGTAAATTAACCTACCCCAAACTTACTCAGGTTGAACTCCAAACTTCAATGTTTAGACACAAGTTTCGTGTTATTGTACCTGATATCGTGCTTCTACTATTATTTCGAATGTATATTGGCTTACCATCAGTCGACCGTGAACAAGTTTCCATAGTTTGAAGTTTTACTATCTAATTACTTAACTATCTTATAATGAGTATGATACTTGGAAATACTGTATAGAACACACTGTTGTGATCGACATGTTTATAGAGGACTCGATATTGAGCACGTTGTATTGTATCACTTGCAAGTGATTTTGGTACTATAGAAAAACTTTACAAAATGCAACCTCTTGGCAGAGCCAGGATGACCCCAAAAGGCTTAATTGAGTTAGCTGATATGTCAAATACGTTTTGGAATAAAGAGTTTTTGGATAAGTTGTAACTGAGTGCTTGATAGGATAACAGCATTTTATAACATTTTGATAGTTAGCTTTAAGCTTATAAGTAATAGTCAAAGTTTATTTGGAACAATAATTGTAGGTACAGTAATTATATATTATTAAAAAAAAAATCATGAAGTTTAGCTTAATTTTGTAATTACTGTTCTACGAAACATGGAACAATATATTGTAACCTATATCGAGTAAAAAGCCCAGTCCATCAAGTTTCAGTTATGATATTAAACTACAACATGCTTAGTTAGGTTAAATGTGTTCCAAATGAGAGATTCAGATAATCTAAGAGTTAAGGAATGAAAATACATTTTAATCTGAATTAATTGCTTGTGGATTAAAACCTAAATTGATTAAGAACATGGTATCATAAGATAATTAAAAAGGTATAGACTATGGAAAAGTTGTGTTCATTGAAATTCACATATTAATAAGTAATTCAAGATGTATAACAGCAATGGCATCTATAAAACACTAATAATGTTTACTAACAATAAAAATGCACAGTATCATCAGACAGCATGCTTAGTAAAGCATTTACGTAAAACTACGTTAATAATAATTTGGTTGTATGAAGTTAGCATACAAATACAATTATTCTACACGTTCTCACTGAAAGGTATGTTAGGAATGGTGTTAGTACATATTAAAATAAAGAATATTTGTACCCTAGGACACATATCACTTGTACAGAAAGAGGTGGGAACTCTGACGTGAACGTCCGTAGAGTGTTTATAACGAGACATGATGGTCTGTCGATATTTGTTCATGTCGAAGTCTTCATATTTTATCTAAACTGTTGTTTCCAGTTAGTAATGTTGATAGTATTGTACAGGTTACGGTTAAAATGTGTTATTGATAATATGCAAAAATAGGATATATAGTTTATTTTAATATGGTTCCATCAAAAGTAAATATCTTAAGCTGATTTAAATTTGTAACGCAAAATATCACTACAGACGACTTAAAACTAAAGTAACAGATAGTAAGTAGAGATAAATTTTTCTCTTATGAATTTTTATAACAATTTTTTTGATAGGTTTTGAATTGATTTCACCAAAATACAAAGAAAATGAAAAAGAAGTGCAATTCCATTATACGAGAAGACAGAACCATCACATTTTTTCCGACTTAACCAATCTACAAAGGTGCGAATAAGATCTTTGTAAACAATAACCAGAACCGCAAAGTTTATACTGTAATATGACCTGTTTGAAGCACAAAGGTGAAAATAGGATGAAGTTCACATTACAGTGACTAGATAGAACCACTAAGTGCCGCAACTTGGTCTCTGTATAACCCCAACAACAACAAACCTACAACAACTAACTGTCATTTGCTAAGGAGTAGTTTAAATTTATGACGCACTTAGAGAAAGCTCCACATTATCTGGTACGTGTTGAATGAAAACATAATAATCTCTCATGGTAGTGGTAAAAGAACTTTGACATCTATAATATTGGTAATTGTTGTAAGTGGAATCATAGTGAATTTTGTGAGGCACAAACTGTACCAAGAGGTTTACCAATGGATCGGGCAATAGGAAAGGGGTGGAATGGGATTTCAAACATTTTCAAAATAATTACTAACGGGATTACCACTAACCTTAAAATATTCGTGAGCTTTTAGGTTAACCATGTATAATTAGAAAACATGAAATGGTGCAAAAAGCATTCAATAAGCTAATAATTAATAAAAGTGGTTTTATCTCATTAGATTCTTAAAAAATATATTCTGTCATAAGAATGAACTGTTTTAATACTTCAGTGTTGAAGTAGAAGTGTGAATGTATACTTTTATTCATGTAAACATAGCTGATGGACTAATTGATGGTAATATAAACACTAAAAGATAACACGCCTTAAGGCGTGCATTAAACTAATATTAACTTTTTAATTAGTAAAACTCGTTTTATAATTACATTAATGGAGCGTCAAACGTGATTAAATTATAGAAGTAGCTTTAGGCTACATAAGGCCAGTAATTAACTTGTTGACTACTAATAGCAGACTGCTCTTGTACGCGCAAACGATAACAAACCATGGTTGTTTTAACGATATGTAGTTATTATGGACAATAAATAGGAAAATGCCTTACTTTTCTGCACCTACAGTAAAAAGTATAAACCTAAACAGAATAGCTACATTCCTACACGCTAAATTAATTTCTTACCAATGCAACCAAGAAAATATGTTGAAACCCCATTAGAACTGAGTTATTTAATTATTACTATTTAAAGCCAATTTCTCGAGCAGGAAAGAGGCTGTTACCGTAGATGACATGGTGCGAGCTAGAACCGGGACCGAATTACCTTTTACTACGGATATCCCTAAAGACACACAAGAAAAAAATATAAAAAAAACACTATTCCCTCAAATCTTTTAGTAAATGTATAGCTGTGTCTGTGAACAGCTGTCGAGCAGTTTTAGTCCGAGTTTGATTTCAGGGCTGAATATATTTGATTAAAATCGCGAACCAGCAAGATCGAGTGATCGGAAAGGGGTGGAATGGGATTTTGACATTAATTATATCTTTGCTCTTAAACATGTTAATGCTCAATATTTATTTTACTCATTGTATTTAGCGTAAACAACTAATAATTGATTTCATATACCGAAACATTGTTGTAAAATTAAAGGTTATGGTGAAAATTCCCCGAAACGTTACGTTTGTAAGTCTTGTGTTTTAATTACTGAGAAAAAGTGAACGTTTGTATTTTGTTTATAAATATATTTAAATCAAATTTGGATAATGCATTTATTTAATATTAAACAATTTTTTCTACTTCTTCACTTAGTGAACATTACTATTTTACTTAGTAAAACTTGAATTAAATATGTGCTAAGAAAATATAAACCAATTTATAAAGTCAAACTCAGCTTTACGTGATCAAATAAGTGATTGAAAACAGGAAACTGGGTTAACTATCACAGGGCACCTCTTTGGACCTTTGCATGGCACCTTAGGGTAATCATCGACTTTTATGCTGGTAGTAAACATAGCTACTTTATTTTGACAATATTCGTTAATCGTCGTTCAAATTAAGATGGTCTAGAACTGCTATTATCATGAAGACGGGCGAATGTTATAGGAGTAGCCCTTTAATGTTTTACTCACATAATTCTAATAGGTCAAAGACTTTTAAGAATTACAGAGGCAGCATCAATGGTTACGACATAATGATAGTTTTAGAAAAAGTGTAACAGCTACATCACAATTATTTAGAAACATATAGCGTAATAATTTTTAGTGAAATATACCCTATGAATGGGCCACTATAATATCTACAATCTTACAACATCCGGCTTTGAAACTGTTTGTCATTTAGTGGGACAATTAAAAGTAATCATTGTATAAATTACCATTAAAATAATTGAGGTTAAATCACCTTGTTGTCCAACAAATATTCCTTAGGAAATTGTAATTGTTAATGTTGCTGTGATCAATTATGTAGAAACATTTCACTTTGTAAATACTTATATTTAAAATTTAACAATTGAAAGAGGTTAAAATAACGTTCAACTTATCGCGTAATGCTCGTAGTAAGAGATACGTGAGTATTTTACCAGTTATTCTGTGATCGGTAGCTGTGTCTTTTCCCGAGGGGGATGGCCGACCAAGCTTAATGAAATTGTTTGCTTAGTTTCTGCCTTAGAACTACCACTTTAATACCCTTGGAATACACAACCACAAGTAGAATTTACTTTAAGAGTTAATTTTACTTTCATAAAATATATAGAGATGGGGCTATTAACTGTATGTTAATTGACTTTTGTAAACATATTAACTTAGTAGCATTGTATGTTAGCATTATAATTGCATTGTATCATTGACTATATATCTACGTATATTGCATCATTATTAAATGGCTTAGTAAACTTCTGGAGTCTCACCATGGTATTTTGGAAATAAACTGTACTGTGTGATACTTGCGACAGATATGTTAT